TCGGACTATAAGCCGCATGGTTCATAGTTCAGGAAAAAAATCGCGGCTTATAGTCCGAAAAATACGGTACTTAAGAAGTATTTGTATTTCATGAATTATATTATTACATTTGGCCGCAGCCCTCAGATAGATTTTCATTTTGGGGAAAAGCTTTGTGCAGCCTTGATATATGTATATAAACTGAAACAGCTGGACTAGTGCATCCTAAATTTAACATCCATTCATTCTTTTAATACAACAGTCATTTCTGCAGTTTTTGGGGAGGTCACCTCCTAATAATAAAAGTCCTTTCAGAAAAACTAACTGCTCATTTTAAAACGTTACTTTGACTTTTAATACTTAACTACAACAAATATCACATACTTTAAGACTTTTACTCAAGTAATATTCCTAAAGGAGACTTTAACTTTTACCAAAGTATTTTTGGTAAAATACTTGTACTTTTACTCTAGTAATATTCCTAAAGGAGACTTTAACTTTTACCAAAGTAACGTTTTAGTAAGATACTTTTACTCAAGCATCACTTTGTGGTACTTTATGCAACACTGTTGTTCTGTTAGTAAAGTCATGCTCTGAGCTGTGTGAAACACGTGGCTCTTTACTTGAGCAGTTTGATGTTACACATGATGAGCTCCTTCCAGTTCACAAAGATCATGGCCACCTCCTTCTCTGTCAGCAGCTCACAGTCCAGCAGAGGCTTGTGGAAGATCTGCACACAGGAAAACAAACACTGGTACTTCTGCTGTTTGCTTTAATGTTTGGCTGAAATTTCAGACTTCATATTTTGTAGAACAAAGTTGGATAAAAGAAGTGCAGAACTAATAGTAATTATAATTAGATGTATAAAGTCAGCACACTGTTCTATAGTGAGTTAAAGTGCCTGTGACATCAAATTTTTGTAATATGAACACATTTTTGGAAAGGTAACAATGACAACATATTGTAAAAAAGATTTCATACAGCTGAGATGAACAGTTGTTGAGATATTTACATGTGAAGTAACAGGAAGTGATGCCAAAGGGGAATGTCTGCATTTAAGCAGAGTGTTGCTAAAATGGCTAACACAGACTGTAGAGAAGAATCTGATGTTTCTTTAGATCAGGGGTCACCAATACGGGGCCCGCGGGCACCAGGTCGCCCGCAGACCCCTTCTGAGTCGCCCGCAGACCCCTTCTGAGTCGCCCGCAGACCCCTTCTGAGTCGCCCGCAGGACACGTTCTAAAAATAGCACTGATGGACTGATCAGTGAAGCAGCGCTCTAATTTAAATATTAAAAAAGGAAACAAAGTCACCCGTGTGCTCTCCTGAGCTTTTATTAACAAAACACTTTACAAATAATGTCAACAAATAACATTATCTCCCGTTAAAGCCACAGAAAACAGGTGATTCACTCCTCCTGCATCTCTCTGTCCTGCTGGCTGCCTGGGGCTCACTACACACAGTTAACTCCGCCCCCAACCCCCACCGTTCACAGTTAACTCAGACCCAACCCCCACTGTTCACAGTTAACTCCGCCCCCAACTCCCACTGTTCACAGTTAACTCCGCCCCCAACTCCCACTGTTCACAGTTAACTCCGCCCCCAAC